TGAAGTTTCATTTGCATTTCATGAATGATTTTAGCGACTATTTTATTGTCCAGAAATACAACTGATTTCTGCTTATAACACGTCGAAGATCACAGTAATATGATCGAAGAATGTTTAGTTAAGAAAATTCACGCCCGTAAATTTTTTTAAGTAAAAGGTGAAATAATTTAAAGTAAAACTGAGACAAACTTGAGTGTCAAATACCCAATAGAGAGATTGTTTAACTTGTAAGATACACAAAGTTCTAACTGAAATAAGTGACGAAAATTCGACAGCGAAGCCCGGAGACAAAAACTTTCCACTGAATTAATACCCGAGAGATGAGAAGACCAACAACGGTAGACCAAAAAGAGAACTTCACTGTTCTCTAACACTCCCTTTCCCATCTTCCTACTCTTTAAACTTTTAGTACATCAGTCTTCATATCATTTATACGAAGGCTAAACTTGAAACGGTCGCATTAACCTCGCTTTACCCAATCATTTAAAATAACAGAAAGTGAAAACAATTAAAATATTTACTATGTCAAGAATTTACGAGTGATTATTATCTATGCCTGTTAATAAACTTTAATACCCAGTAATAATTATACATACCAAGTTCATTAATAACAAATAACTCCATATATTGTAAGACTTGAGGTTCTCACAGCGGTGAGTCTCAAGATTTCTGTCTTCTGGGTTCTTGCGCTGTGTAGTCTGGTCGATGTTTACCAACGTTTCGGAGGTCATACTGCCTCCGTCATCAGGGCGATCGCCCTGATGACGGAGGCAGTATGACCTCTGAAACGTTGGTAAACAAGACCAGACTACACAGCGCAAGAACCCAGAAGACAGAAATCTTCATACTCATCGCCCTGATGACGGAGGCAGTATGACCTCTGAAACGTTGGTAAACAAGACCAGACTACACAGCGCAAGAACCCAGAAGACAGAAATCTTCATACTCATCGCCCTGATGACGGAGGCAGTATGACCTCTGAAACGTTGGTAAACAAGACCAGACTACACAGCGCAAGAACCCAGAAGACAGAAATCTTCATACTCATCGCCCTGATGACGGAGGCAGTATGACCTCTGAAACGTTGGTAAACATCGACCAGACTACACAGCGCAATAACCCAGAAGACGGATATCAACTCCATATATTGCCCACAGAGTATTTATGGCTTTCGTATAATTTACATAATAAACAGCCATTATATCAGGAACCAGCATTAACCTAACGTTCTTTGTAGAAGAATTTTGTTTTATGTAAGAACTGAATTCCTAAATGTTACTTAAACTATCTCCCGTTAGCGTAAGCACATTCTAACTTATGGTTTATAAGGCATTTTTTTTTTCTCTCCAAATTTCAGTTATGTATTTTGAACACAAGAGTGGTTTAATAGTACATAAAACGTTGTGATAAGACTCACGCAAGTTTCTGTCCTTAACTCTAGGATTTGTTAGTTTTCAACTTAAAATTGTTAAAATAAATCATAACGACATTACTTTGACCTCACATAATACTTTTATATTAGCAAGATTATACTTCACGACTATTATGAATGTCTCCACAGCACATTCTTCTTTGAACCTAACCTCAAATTCAACAAGTGAGAGGGATTCCCCCTTGTACCTTCCTCAGTTTTACAGTCAACATAATTAACCTCTTGTTATAACGAGTGAAGAGTTACCACAAACGTTTTGAAAATTATCAAAATGCGATGTCCATTAAATGTTTATGTTTATCGAGGTACTCATAAGTTAACGCGATCGTTTTAGTCAGTTATTCATAGTGTTGCTTGCGATATATCTCGCTAATTTGAATCAATTAATCCTCAATTGACTAATAATTCATGTTATATCTATCGATTTAACCACTGACGTGTTTGAAACAATCACGATTAAATACTACGTATCAATATGTTTATGTTCCATAAATATCGACCTTTATAAACCCTCACCAAACAGACCTACATGGATGACACAAAACTTTTATATCCATCTAAACATCCTCTGACTGTCTGATATCAAAGTCTTATCTACATTTATAAAATAATTTTCAGGATCTGAATTATCTTAAATCATATGAGTTTTTTTACGTTTTAATACTAAAATAATTTGGGGGGGGGGGGGTTGCAGCCGTACCGTAAAGCTAACCATTCACGTACATCTGTTGTCGAGGTTAAAAGTGCATGGAGCTGTACCTCGTCCAACCATATGTATGTATAATGCGGTTATTAATTAAGCACTAAGGAATATTTAATTTATGATATTTCAGGTTTTAACAGTGGTGTGTTTTGTGCCATGTTCTTTAAAAAAAATTAATATTTTGAAAATGCTTACTGCCTCTAACTAGGGCGATGACCACTATTTTTATGTATTATAAATCCATGAGCTCATCAGCCAAAAGACTGCATGAAGATAGATTATTTATCTGTGTATCAGATTATATTTTTCTCGTAGTTTTATAATGAGCTACGATGTAGACAATATTTCGTTTTCCCATAAGAAACATAAATTTCTCTTTTTGTTATCACGTTCAGATGGGTTCTGGGCCTATCCAACCATCCACATACTTGATTTTTATAAAATTAATATATTTTAAAGTAGACTCGGAAATTCAGACTAGCCTTCAATGCCCTTTTAGATATCTTATTTCCCATTAAAAGTTATTTCTTAAGACCTTACAATATTAACCTAATATGAAGTTTTAAGTTGTATAAATATGGAACTCCATCCAACTTTACTATATATGACGTAATTTTCTGTAATGAGAGATTATATATTTTTCTTACTTTTACAGGTATATCAGCTTTAAGGTTTTGATTTGACATCACATCATCGTGATGAATTTATGTAGGAGCTGTTACCATGGTGATATTGTTATTTCAAGAGGGAGTTTTATATTTTGAACCCATGGTCTGTAGGATGTTTTTATTGGGAAGGAGGTAATTGTGTTAGCGATGTACAATCTCTATCAATCACTGTAATCCCTAGCTGTCAGTGCCATCTGTGAAAAATGATCCTTATACGATCCAAAGTGATAACCTAGTCACAAAACCTAACCACTTCAAAGAATGAGTGTCGTATGGAGAATTAATAGATAGAAATTCCTTATGGAATTTGCTTGTAGACGAGTCTGAAATTCTGAACTTTGATAAATCTGTCTGTCTGTCTGTGATGTATAAATAACAGTTTAAGAACTTAAAAAATAACAGAACTCTAGTTCCAAAATAGTCACTTCAAAACAGAAGTTACGTCTATTACACGGAGGATGAATATTAAAAAAGAAACATTTTTAATATTTATCTGCTTTTATTGATAACATTTTAGCCATTTTTTGTCGAATTTTCGTAGCAGAGATATTTGTAGCGAACGTAGACAATACTAGGTCATAAAAAATCTCTATTACTGTTTGCAATATGTTATCCAAAATTATTCGTATACAGACTATATTATTATGTATCGCCGCCGTGGATTCCGAAATAATAGTTTAGATTTTATCACATATTCTGCATTCATGAGATATATTTAAAAATGTGAACATACTTTTACATTATATCTGGTACTTTAAACTTTTAATAAGTTTGTTTTTGGTAAATGTCTTGTAGAGCGTTGTAAATGAATTACAGTGGGCTGCTTCGTTATCTTTCAATTTTCCTTTAAAATATATTATAAATGCCTAATAAAATTGTTTTGGATATTGACAGAATGAAACGTCAGTTTTTGGTACCACCATGCAAGCTACATGCCCCGTCCATCTATTGCTATATGATAATTTGATAATCAGAAGAATAGTTGATAAAATTTGTAACAAGTAGAATAATATAAAACACTGGTTTCGTCCCACAAAGGAAACTTAAATGGCAGTAATATTTTCTTCTTTGTCGTAACCCTTAATATATGCAAGAGAGAAAAACAGCAGACCAATGTCTGGGTAGGAGGATAATATTAAAATGTATTTTAGAGAAAAAGGGATGTGAATTGAATTCATCTCGTTTGAGAATTGGGTTCTGGGGCATGCTGTGTGAACATGGTAGTGAATATATATTTTTTAAAAAGGCTGAATATTTTTTTTGGCTAGCTCAGCGTAATATTTTATTATCCAATAATTTTGTAGGTACACAAAACCATTTTGAGAAACAATGTTTTCATGTCAGTAATTGATCATTTCCGACAAAGACTTGTGGAACCATGCGTAAAAGACATTGATTTTATGCCTCAGAAATACGTATCTTATGTCACTCTTGCGTTCTGCAAATGGTTTTATGCATTCTGTATTCTGAATTCAAATTAAGCAATTTATTTTACATTGCGTAGTTTGAGAAGCTTTCGATGTTTGTAAACTGATCACTTTTTTGTTTGAGAATCCCTTTCTCTATCTCTCTTTAACCTCGAATATGTCAGGTTTAAAAAAACAATTTCATCTATAAATGAACCTACCTTGAACACTCTTGTAATCGATATTAAAATAACTTCGTACGGAATTTTGTTGTTGATACGAGAAGTAAGAGAATTTTATCACGAGTAGATAATTATTCTTTTTCGTTATTCTTCTGGGTTGTAGCTGCGTGTAGTCTGATAGATGTTTACCGACGTTTCGGAGGTCCTTATTTCCTCCATTATCATGACGATTTATCTCCCTGATTACCCAAAGGACGGCCGTCTTTGTACTTAATGTCGTCAAATCTTACATGTAATTTCAAGGTTTTATATTCCAAAAATAAGTAAACACTCGTACAAGACATTTTCTGTAAATATTACAGTTGTTTATCGATGAATAGATTTATTAAATCTATACGTAATTTAACTTTTAGGATGGAAAACTGGGGGTTCAAATACAATAAAAATATTCTCTCAAATTTTTGGTTTAAATGCGCCATTGAATGAAACGATATAACACTTGAACGTTGTGATATTTCTTTTTCAGTATCTTCATGTTTTCGCTTTGTTCCTTAAGGAAATGGGAGATTTTTACTGTTGACAATAACTTTCCTTTTCTTTTCTTTTCAGGGAACGCGTCGTGACGTATCGCACTTCAGTCACGTGCCAATTCGCCCACAATCACCGACCGTGATCCACCTGAAACAATTTCTAACTTCCATTTGTTTTTTTCTGTTAGGACAGCCAGAATCCTATTAGGATTTCAGAACACCTTTCCTGAAATTGTCCAGTATTTGCCTTTAGTTAGAGTTCATGTACGAAACATTTAATGTGATCACAGTTAAAATCTTTGAGAAATACTTTCATATTACATTCAGGTTAACAAGCGAAATTAACTGCACTCAACGTGTTTTATAATCTCAGTAGTTGACGTGTGATAAATCTTGTCGTTCAGAATTACTGTATTTGATACTTAAACCAAGATTAAAGAGAAATATGTTTATCTAAAAAAAAATTTATTTAGAAAAGCCTACTTTAAAATTCTAATAAATCAAATCTGTCATTTGAAACTATATTATCGGTTATAGAAGTAACTCCAGAAACTTACCATTTTAATATCCAAATATTTAATTTAGTTTTATTCCTTTACCGAATTTAAAATATCTCACTAATGAGCATCGTTAGATGATAAAACGAGTATGATTTTCATCTTAAAATATCCTAATGGATAGGGCAAGAAGGCTATACATTTAAGCTAGTTTAAACTTAAACCACAAAATCCATTTTAAACATAACCTCTACTAGCTTAATAGTAAGCCAAAATATTATCTTGCCTAATCATGACATCCGGTAACCTTAAAAATAATTACCATTTATTAATGCATATAAAATACCCACTCATCTCCAAAATCTTAATAATCCTGGTATTGTTGCCAGTGATCATTTGTCTGTCCCTAAATAACGCCGTGAGAGATTTGCAGAAAAACACAGATTATCCGTCTGAGCAATGGAACATGCACATTGCGATCGCATTCAGTGAAACACACACGCAGACGTTCTCCCGCGCTTTTAACAAAGCCATGAACAACGTCACGAGGCTGTTCGTGGAGAATTATCACCAGCATAATATCACTTTATCGCCACTTATGATTATTCTTCCGCAAAATCAACAGTTCTCCTCCGCCATTTTAGAGAAAACGTGTTCGCTGCTGGAAGGGAAACACGTAGTCGCTGTGCTGATAATTGGCGGAAGTCCCGCTGGGTTTGCTGTGGCGCTGGCGGCTGGAACTGCTGGGATTCCCGTTCTGTGGGCCAGAGGGGGAACGGGAGATTTGGTGGGATATTTCCAATCGGTAAGTAAAATTGTTTTGTATATTCTCCAATGTGAGAATGGGTAAGAAATTTAAACGTTTGATTTTTACACTTTTTCATACTGGTAGAATTAACAGAGCTATACCGGAAATGGAACGTAACCAACTGATAACAAAGCTTCCTCAAAATTAACGTAATACCTGTTAAACTTTTCACACTTTTTGAAATGGTTTTTATTTAATGTCATACTTTTAATGGACCCATATCAAAACAGCACATACCCCGTTTAAATTTTACTTATTAGATTTTATTTTTTTAAAAAATTGTATTAGTTCACTTTATAAACTTGTTCTGTTTTCATAACTGCTGCTGTATTCTGGTGGTAGATTTCTGAATTACTGATGTTAACTCGCACGTATATTTCTTGTACGAGTTATTTTCCACTGCTCTGGATTTGTGTTTGGAATAAATAATCGAAAAGTAATGTAACATTTCTCTATGTTATTAAGGTTAAAAGTTTGTATTCAGAAATTAATAAAACTTGAAAATTTCTGTCTTCTGTCTGAAAACATGTCAAGATGTCTTGTTCACGTCTGCCTCTAAAAGTTGAGTTTGTGTGTTCGTCTGTGATATCTGTATTTGTTGTCTTTGTAGGATAATTGAATTTTAATCCTGTTAGCAGTAAGAACTACCCCTGACGCAACTAAGATTAAAACGTTTAAGATTTTACGACTAGTATCTAAGCTTTGGCACTAAAAGAAACAATTCGTAATTAAATTTATGAACGACAAGAGCTGAAATTTACAGCAAAGGAAACTTCGACACTGAAAATATCTAGAGTAAGTCTTGAAAACGTGTAAACTGTGTCTAATCGCGACCGTTACATTTAAAAATGTTTATGTCCTTTTTGCCAAAATCGTTAACTCGAAATATATTGTTGTCTCAAAGTAAAGTTCTGATTCATCTGGTCCTTTGGTTGCTTTATAGGTCATTCTTTCGTGTGTAGCCATTTTTGTAAGGCTCTGTTGCACAACAATGCGTTCAAACAATGGAGTTCAGTAATGCGGGCCGACGTAAGGCGTTCTTCACTGACGCAAGGACGGGAAAGGATGAAAATTGAATGGATAAATATTATATCTCTGTTATGTTCTCATTTTATAAGAAATCGGCACGCTTTCGAGGTGCCTTGAGGTACTTCAATCTCCTCTGAATTCAATAGGAGACCCTCAAATAGAGAGTTGTTAAGATTCAATCAATATGGCTTCTTCCGGTCCATTACTTACAAAGATAAAGTAATACACTGACGAAGATGTCTTACATCGTTGCCACATTCCTTGTTTTAAGGTTTTAAGGTGGATTCTTATTGTTAAAATTTCACCGTTAGACTATTTATCACAAACGTGTACTGACCAAACTACAGGGTGGGTGGGAAGTAAGTAGGTATTAAATAATTTTTGCGTAGGAAATATAGGGGTTATAACCATTTCTCAATGTCTACGTACTTCCCACACACCCTGTAGATGGCGTATGGAACCAGAGGGCTCATCACCGAATTAACCAAAGCCGTTTACCGGTCCCTGTCCTGGGTCAACAACCAAAGCATTTCTAAATACACAAATGAAAAATATGTAGCCAAATAATATCGGGGTATAAGATACGGAATTTCTCAGCCAATGGTTAGCATTAATCGTATCTGAAGATCCGGGTATCAGCTGTCGACTGTCCTGAGATTTTAATAGTTTTTCTCAGTCCCTCTAATGAGATTTCGTGATAGTTCCTTAAATTATGCCATGAATGCTTCATTTGGTATAATTTTTTATTCATTTTTCATTAATCTTTCTAACATTTTTTATTTTTATTTCTTATTTAATTTTTGAGTCGTGCTGTTATACGACGTGCGGTGTTTGCGTAACTAATTCTCAGGTGAGATTGATTAACGAGGCAACTTAAATAAAAAAGATACATGTAATGTATTTGAATAGATGAATGATTAAGTAAAATTAAACATACTAATTAAAAATAAAGGATTGTTGATATCTTATTATCATATTTTAGAAATTATTAATTAGTAATTAGCGAAATCTTGCGCATGCGCGTATATCGAATTGATAGCAAGGATTTTCTCCTGATCTGTGGACTGTATTTGCATTTGTTTATTTAAAGTTCGGTGTCGCTCAGTTTATGACATGTGCTGAGTGTTGTGCCCTTTTTTGGGAACATTTCGTGTTAAAAAAAGAATTGTTACAAGGAGTACAACAAAAGATGTCCAACAAAATGTTAAGAACCACGCCCTCACTCTATAAACTCAACCAATTTAAATAAAAATAACATTACAGTACAGTAAGGCCTGTTATCCTGCCCGAAAAGGACAGATTGATTATTGGATAATCGAAAATTACGAAAGACTAATGAAAGATTCAAGGGTTTCATGAACAAATATCTACTGAATTTACGATAATACTTAAATTACAGTATAGAGTATGCAACAATTAAAAAAATCTCGTAAACAAAAATAGTATTTAACGTAATGTAAACCTGTAAATAAAAATTTATTATATTGAGGAATATTTAATAGGTATTTCTTCTTTGCGGCAAGGTCACGTCATCGCCTGAACAGTTGAACGTCTGTAGCAGCAGAGAAAATAAAATGTAGAATTGCGCGGCGCGGGGAGTTGATTCACCCCACTGCAAGCTGCGTTGACCGCCGATAAAATGGAGCGTTCCGACACGGCGCGTAATATCGGACAAACGGGACACTCCTGTATAATGAGATCGTAACAGGAAGATAAATCACTGTGTTGCAATATGTCCGCCAAGCAGTGATGCATTATTAATTGAACTGTGTGCAATGGGACACGTCGGGTCTCCAGACAATCTAGGAAACAAAACATAAACTATCACACAGAAATTCCAGCCTTTGGGCAATTCAGAATCAAGATTACGATTTGTCGGATATTCACTGAGTTAAGCATTAATAAATGTCCCATGATGTAAAGCGCCATTTTGACGACATAAAATTTGATTAAGCGAAAATGCTGACTTATTGTCTGGTAATCAAAGCATAACACCGCCACGGTGGTATAGCGGTTAGAACGCTGGTCTTGTAATCCTGGGGTCTCGGGTTCGATTCCCGGCGGTGCCCGAATTTATAACTTGTGTTGGGCAAGGCCGTGATCTAGGCAACACGGAGTTTTCCTCCGGGGGCTTCCCCGGTTTCTCCGTGGCATCCCAACAATTACTCCATTCACACACAGAAGAAGGCAATGGCAAACCACTTCTGGATCATCTGCCAAGAACGTATATGAACAGGTCCCAGTCCGAGAAAAGGATGGAAGGATCCTGTTCATATGGACCTGTCGTCAGACAGAACACTCTTCCTTCTGTATCTCAAAGCATGTAATAGAAAATAATAGTACATAATATTTCGGAATGTTTGTTATTTTACCGATATATGAACAGCCCATAGCGAATTCAGGAATTTTTTTAAAGAACCTATCAAATTCTTCATTTATCTTCACGTACATAATTACGACTGTATATGTTAAAATTAAATACAGTATTTTTATTAAGAGAGCAAAAATTGCATAGAGAAGCTAAATATTAACCGGATATCATTAAAAATGATACCCACCAAAGCCAAAAACTTCCAGGACAGTTAAAATTTTAAATCGCACTTTAAAATATCTTCGTTATTTATAATGTTTACTTACCGTAAATGAACCTCCATGTACTGGCACCGTTAAAATTACTCGTGTAGAAACGCAATATTATATCGCGTATAAATATTATAAGTTAACTTTAATTACATTAGGGTTTTGCTAATCATTCCGCGGCATATCCAATTGACTGGTCTTGATATGCGATAGTGTCATGTAAACTCATGTGTGTATATTATACAACACAAGTTTGTTCAGTTAATTTATTTAGAATTACATACTTTAAAAGCAGTATCAAGACTTGAGTGTTCGTAAATGTATTGTGTGGGCTCTGTGAAATACATTATCAGACAGCGGTTCTGTCAGAATGTGATCAAAGGTGTGTTATAAAGTGCCCCGTTTCATTTGTGCCCTATATTCTATCGTTTATAATCACTTGTAGTCACTGATATTATCAAAGCTATTCAAAATTCTATACATTCGCAGACCATTCTAACTTAACATAACGGAGAAGTGGATGGAACCATTACTTTGTATTCGGGAGGTCCCAGATTCAAACCTCGACGAGAAGACCAGCTACTCTGAGGTTGTCCTTGATTGTATAATGCTTTAAATTAGGCCACGACCGCTTCCTTCTGTATCTTTTTGGAATTCATTAACCATCTGATACTATAATTCTACGGTACTGATAACATCGTTAATTAAACCACAAAGATTGGTGGAAGGCGAGTGGAACCCAGCACAGCGTACTTGTACTATCTTTTGAAAAAAACATTAAATTTTCGTTGCTCGTCTTTATTACGAGAAATGAAGGAAATTATCGTCTATTTTTATACGAAACTTGAGGTAGATTAATATAAAATGAAGAGTTAATAAGGTGGTTTCGATAAAAGGGAAATATTATATTCGGAACGTAGTTAATGTTTTTATGACAGAATATACACACCAGTACGTTAGCAGCCGTATTAAAGCATTGACACCGTGGTCTAGGCAACACGGAGTTTTCCTCCGTGGCATCCCAACAATTACTCTATTTACACACAGAAGAAGGCAATGGCAAACCACTTCTGGATCATCTGCCAAGAACGTATATGAACAGTCCCAGTCCGAGAAAAGGATGGAAGGATCCTGTTCATATGGACCTGTCGTCAGACAGAACACTAAATAAAATAACCATATACTAAACATCGAATGGTCTATACAATACGTTTTATTATTAATGGTTTATCGTATACGATACGTAACGTACGCCACGCAGCTTGGCATGTAAACCAACTTTTTTTTTTTGCTGGCTGCATTAGTTTTATTAACCAAGAACAGTTCAGTATAATATGATATAATAATTTTCTGATAATTATTGTAATAAATATATTTTGACGTAAATA